TTATGGAAAATGAAAAATTGCAAAAAAAAAAAAAATGGCGTCGATAGTTCGCATATTTCGGCATGGACTGATTTTTTTGATTTTCTCCCATACGACCGTATCTACAAAATTTAAGCCTTTATATGATAAATAGATTTTAATATGTGTAAGGGAAAATCGCTAAACCCTCCCATCCAAAGTGGGTGTTTATATGGCAAAAAAAGAAAAACTGATTTGCAATATTTTGTGACGAAAGCAGATAAAGTACAGCATGATCATTGGCAAGAAATTTCAATTTACTAAATTTGGAACTCGTCAGTTGGTGTTTTTTTGACCCTTATAAAGATGAAAGGTCCCACGAAAGCAGGATACACTTTTTAGAATTTTATCACGACAATCACGACACTATAGAATTGTATTAGGCAAAGCAGGTTAGGGAATTTAATGGGTGTCGGGCCTTGCTGGACTATAATCTTTTTATTTATTTTTATATAATGGAAATTTATTTGACGCTTTATTGATTCGATTGTGATATTTGTGCGTGTTCGCATATTCGCCTATTAAACAAAATAATTAATGGCTTAATTCAAATAACAAATACATAAATTAGGGGTTGAAGCACAACTTCTTTTTTCAAACCGACGCATTTCTTGGTATTGGTCGGTAGGGTTGCTTTGAAAAATGTAAATATTTAGATAATGAACGACATTCAATTTTTATATCCGCCATTAAGACCACGGTTTATTTATTTGTGTCAAACTCAAGTAGACATATATCTGGAAAACAATATGAAAACTCCATATGTATTTGTGTATATTTGATAAGCATACTCGCATGGCGTTCAATTTCTCAGGTTGGGAAAGCCTTATACAATCTCTTATCTCTTTGGCCGTAATATGTGATCCAATTATTTATGTAAACTTTATGTTTTCATGGTTTTCTTCTCATTTTATGTTCTCCAATTTCGTTTGTATTTGCCATTTACAAGAATGATTTGAAAAAATATCAGTTTTCTTTTAAATGTTTGTCGTCATTAGATTAGTTAGGATTAGTTTTACTGCATTTGTGTACATGTGCGTTCGCTTGCGCGCGTAATATACAAAAATTGCTTCTTTTTTTTTGTATGTACATATCATTGTGTGCGTATATATACATATAATGTGGACATATGCGTATGTGTGTATAACAAACCTTTCCTGACTCAAAACATTTACAAAACTACTTCTTGTGTTTTTTGTTTTTTTCTTTCAAAATTTTCTTTAAAAGTTTATACATACTTTTTTTTATCTCCAGTACGGCAACAAAAACCGCTAAAGCATAAGCAACGAGCAGAAAAAAGAAAAAAAAAAAAAAAAACAACAAAAAAAATAAAACTTTTAATTAAAAAGTTTTGCAATCGTAAAAGATTGCGTTCACAAAAACAGTGCGATTAAAAGTCCGCAAAGTGAGAGCTGGCATCGTGCTGATTGTCTGTTGCCGGCTTGAATAGCAGGCTGTCTCTTGTCTATGCTGGCCGGCTGCCTGGCTACCTTACTGCCTTATTGCCTTGACGAACCGTCTAACTAGCCAATCTAAACACTTTTCCTTCCTTCGTTTTCTTTGTCGTTTCTCTTTCTGCTTTTTTCAAGTTGATGAGCATTAATAAAAATAATTGTCAGTGGTTTTGCTACTATTTAAAACGTTTTACGACTTGCAGGTTTAATTAAAATACATATTCTCTGCCGAGCTATGAGTCTTATGTTCTTCGACGGTTCGCAAATAAAGCCAATTGCCAACCGAAAGCAAAAAAAAAAATGTTTCTTCTTAGATGATGTTTAGTAAATTGTCGACAACAACTCAATCTGCAAAATAGTTTTGTCTTTTCTGATGCATTTGTATTTTCCCGTTGTTCGTTCGTAATACTTTTGAGGCGATTCAAAATTAAAACTGATGCTGAGTTAATGACTGCAAACATCATAACTTATAGGTATTTGAATGACATAGTGAACGTTTGCATATTCTCTCACATATTGGTTCCGCTTTGGTCATTTGAACATTTTCGTGAAAGTAATTTGTTTGATCTTTTTTCCAACTTTTTATCAATATTAGTAAACGCTGATTTTAATGGTGATGATAAGATTTCAAAATATATCAGCGGACCATAACGTGAATAATGATCGTGAATAAGCTGAACATATCTCTTGATAATTTTATATGTTCCACGATTTCGTACCAATGAATAGATTACGAAGACTTTATAAAATCACGTTTATCTTCTAAACTGCGTTTTACGATCAGGAAAAAGCTACGGCTATGACAACAGTTAACCATTAAATATCCTACACCTCTTGGCTTAATAATGTTATTCATACTCACATTTCTCAAAATATGGCTTTATGTGGGAAGTGGTCGAAATAGCGGTCCGATCCGAACCATTTGCAAATAGCAACCATCCCAAATCTTATGAAAGTACGCCAAAAATTTCTGTCTGTAGGAAGAATGCAAGAATACAAGGCAGGCGGACAGATGCACACACGGACAGACAAACTAAGGTAAAGTTTAAAGTGGTTCTGACTTGATTGGTATAATAACAAATTATCGGTCTATGTCAAGCACTTGTAGGTGCGCACAAACTTGTTATACCCTTGCACCCTAGGTGGCATAGGGTAGAATTGTTGATAACGCACAAGCAAAAATTCAGTCGTAACAAAATTCATTTCATGATTAAGATAATCGGACTTCAGATTGGTTTTAAAGTGAGAAGCAAAGTGTCGCAAGCAATGCCGAAGGTTTTGCAATCTTGTCAAACTTCGCGCTGGGATCATTCGCAAGAGGATGCCTGTCTATAATCCTTACATTATTGCTATTATTCATGCTTTTATTATTCACTTCTTTCAAACGTCGAAGCGCATTATTAATAGTAATAACAATACCTTTGTTGATTGACTGCATTAATGATAATGAACAGTGAATGGCAATAGCGGAGGTCATCCTCTGTTCTATGAGATTCTAAGAAAGCGAAACTGAGAACATAACTTGCAATTTTTTTCCCAGAGCAAGGATTGCAATGCTGACGAAATGCTAACAGAAATAAATAAATAAATGAATCAGTTAACCGATTAATAAAGAAAGAAATAAAACAACGACGAAGTATGATGGGAAGACTCCACCTAGAAAGGTAACGCCCACATTTATTTTTTAATTCAAAGACTGAAATTGTTTTTCTACAAGTTGACGGCCTTCCTTTAGATCTTTATTAAGGGGTGCTTTGAACCCTTTGAGCAGGATCCTAAAGAATTCTCTCTTGTCCAGCGTTGTAATAACATCTATACATTTCTCAACGTTTTGAATTTACATTGACAACATACATGCATCTACACATACATATCTATGCAATTTTTGTGATTTCAATTTGTTCAGGAAGATAAATATTTCACTGATTGTGGTTGACAGCCTTTCGTTTTCTCCTCGATTGCTCACTGGGAAAAATTAGTAAGATGAGTAATGGGTTCCTCTATGTCTTACTCGGCGTTACTTCAGAGGACTTGTCAGTTATTCTTCTGTTCATCATTTCGATAGATGAAATGAAAATTTGACCGCTTTTCGGTTAAGGCTAAGAATATGTGCCCTAAGTCTTGTTTCCGGTACAGTGCATGATTAAATGTACGATATATGAAGAAATGGTTCAAATATACGGAATAGTTCGTAAACGTTTTGCTAATAAAATCTTTTCAGATCGCATAAATTTCGGAATGAAAAAAATCCGAAAATTTTTTCTTTTTTATTATGCATGCATTACATTATTAATGTTATTATTATTTATATGATGTACTTGTGTCATGCATGGAATTTAAAAGCTTTTTAAAATTAAGCTTTAAAACCTGACACGTTTGAAGGTCTTTTGCATTTTTAATGAGACCACACATTTAGTTTCAAAAATTTTATGAGAATAAAAAGTAATGATACAAAAGACAAAAGAATGTAATGAAAAACGTCATCATTATGATCATCATCATCATCATCATCATCATCATCATCATCATCATCATGATGATCATCGCATCTGACACATATTAAAAATACATATTTAATTTTTAATGTCTTTATATATATACCTATATGGAGAGAGATACATACATACATACATATATTTGTTTTTCAAAATAAAAGAAAAAATTTCAATTCTTCATTAATGATTTTCTAAACTGTTCTATTCTGTACATTTCTGTTAACTACAATCCTGCTCGGTGCAGGGAAACATTTATCTTTGAAATTTTTCGTTGGGTAAATGTTCTTGTGCGAATATACATAGTGCAGAATGCAACGAAATACATGGAATATATGTATGTGTATATGTTTGTAAGAATATTTACTGAATTTTAAGACGTATAGTAAATCTTTCACTATGCTTGACCGTTGCTTAGTCTATTTATGATTTCATACATTTCCTTTCTTTCGGTTGTGGCATCTTGAAGGCGCGCTCCGCTACATAATTTAAAGATGAATGTGTATTACGGCATCTATAATGGATCTTTTTATTTGCTCTCGTCCGTATAACATTTCTTACTGATCCGGCAACTTTAGCTGTAGTGAGTTGTTATTTCGTTTCTGTTTTCCCTTTTTCTGTTTTTTAGTTTATGTTGTTATTGTTGTTATTGTTATTGTTAAATTTCTCAGCAAGCTCTATAGTAAAAGCATTATATCGCTTTATTGACGCGAGAGTATATGTGTGTATATGTTCGCATTTTCGTATCTGAATGTATTCGTCGCAAGCATGCTGAGCACTGTTGCTCGTTCCTCGTTTCAGTCAGTACAGACAGCTTACAAGTATACAAACATATATAAACTTATATATATATATATATATATTTATATATATATATATATATATATATATAAGTTGTGTGTGTGTATGTATGAACGTTTTTTTTTTGTTTGTTTCAACTAAAGAAAAAATATTGAATTAAAATATTTTTTTTTACTGTTTTGTTAGTAGCTATTTAACAATTTTCGAGTCGTTATCGCATGCGCACGTCGCGTACATTTTCTACAAACAAAAATTGTAATTATTTTTCTTGTTATATTTTTTATGAATCTTAAATAACATTACGCATAAGCAAATAAATTCGCTTAAGAATTAATTAAATTGTTTTTTGCGTAAATTCAACATCAAGTTCATTACACATAATGGCCATATTATCGATATCTTAATGAGACGTGAACGTAAGCGTGTTGTCTTATATTGTTGTGTGTGTTTTTTTTTTTTAAATATGAGTGCAATGTTTTTAGTTGGAATTGAATCTAAGAAGATGCTTTGGGTGCAGAAAATGCTTAATTAAAGTAAATTATAATTCATGTGAGAACGTATGTGAAAGCAACAAATAAATAAACAAATTTCCTTACAACCTTCGATTCTATGGATTTATTTGTGAACTAATTAATTTCGAAAGATGAAATAAGCATAGCGAGGGATGCGTGTGTGATGTTTTACATACTTCATCAGTAAACCAGGTAAGAATTGATTCTTATTGGATTTTCTGTAATGAATTAATTCCAACTGGAAGGTATATCAGACACACTTCGATATTTAGACTTTGTTCTAATCTATGTTTTGCAATATATTATATTTACCACCTATGGATAACGGTGCATTAGTCTTGAAATACATATTTGCAATACAAGGAAATATGCACCAGAATATTAGTGAAAGGTACACTGTTTTGGGATCGTAAAAACCAAGAAACTTGTTTCCTATAGTTCCATACAAGACGAAGATCAAGTCTTAAAAAGCAGCTAGTATAAAGTAGAAGAACCCAGGAATATCCTTTGGGAGTCCCACTACATAAAGCACCTCAAGGTTTAGTAGAAAAATCACTACTTCTTGCTTCAAGATATGTATTTTTTTTTTCATCATTTGAAGATTTCGTAATGAGCCTTGGCTCAGGTCGCAGCTCGTAAAGAAAATACCGAATGCTATATTGCAGTTAGTGTTCTAAAGTTATGTGCATAGTTCTCCAATCCCAAAATTTTGGGTGATTCTTTTTTGGCTATGGGCTTTGGGCTACGTGAGGCACGCTGCGGTATAATTTGCAATAGAAACACGCAGACCGATTAGGGCTACGCATATACACCTTTGCATTTACTTACGAAAGTAATCAAAATCGGGCAGAATTGGAAAAGAAAGAACAAGCCGATCGACCGATGCGGGTTAAGATCCAACCTGAGTCTCCACAGAGTTGAGAAAAGCTTAAAATATTGTGGCTTTTTGTGAAGGATACATAATCTAGTTGAAAATTGCTCAACGTAAAGGAGCTGATGAAGGAGCAGAGCGTCTCTTTGATATGCGGTAGTAAACCGATGAGTTTCTCTACGAAGTTAATCAGACGTTAGAGATGATGCATGTTGACGATGTTTATAGATTGCAATCACTGCAGAAATTTCCACTATTGGCTCTGCTTAGCCTCAGATTGAATCTTAAAACAATGATTTACGTACGCAAGATAGTAGTCGTAAAATTCGCTTTTTTATTCACACAGAGTTTGCCTTTTGAAAGAAATCTTATTGACATACTCTTCGATTCGAAGCTATGGATGAAACTTTAGTTTACCATTGTAATGAGTCTTTTTCTAGATCAGCACTTTCACAATTGGCTAAAATTAAATCGCAAAAGGATTGCGCTCCGCAAAATAGAAAATTTTAATTGTTTATCATTAATCTTTATATAAAACAACGACACTGGGTCTTGCGATCAGTTATTTACAAAAATATGTTTTAACTTAAAATCTAAAGAACCAGTGCACTTACTTAGTTGCACAATCATTACTGAAGCATTTGCATGGAATGTATTTGCATTTCTGGTCTCTCTTTACATATGACCCAAAAATATCGGGTTATAGTTATAAAGAAGTAGAAACACTACAGTGGGCCATGGTTCGTCATTAAATATCCTCCATCATCCTACAATTAGTCAAGCAGAACTTTCAAAATAAGGGGCTATATGGGTCGTGGATCCGGAAAACTATCAATAGCGTTCGTCCTTGGGCCGCAACATAGCAGTTCATTACATTTTATCAAGACATGGCGGGCTGTAGATTGAGCAGAGGAAAACAAGACGGATAAATGGGCAAACAAACTTAGATCCATTTAGAAAGTGATTCTGAATTTGAATAAAAGTTGGACAAATCTCAAATACTTCTGCGTATTAAGTATATGAGCATAACCTGCCCTTGTTCTGCATGTTACTTATACAACGACTTTTAAACATAGAGCGTTGTATATAAAGTAGTTAAAAAAGTGGTCCTATCCGAATTGTTTTCAATAGCTTTCGCCCTTGGGCTAAAACTCGCCATTCTACCAAACGTAATCGAAATGTTTCGAAAATTTGCGATCTATAGGTTGAACACAAAGAAAAAAACAAAACACGTGGAGAGACAGGTGAGCTTGGAATCACTTTCTAAATCGATCGATATGTTAAAAAGTGGATCTCTCTTAAGTATTATTATTATTATTATTATTATTATTAATTTCGCCAGAGAAATAAATTCTAAGACTAAACTCTTAAAAGCACTAGCATCTGAAGGCTATCGGCTTTTATTAAAAACTCTACCGCACTTGAGATTCAAACCCACGACCATTGACTCGCTAGTCGAGGTTCCTCCCCTTCGGCTACTCAGGCGGATCTCTATCTTAAGTATTTGTGGCTATTAATCTTGTACCACAAGTTATGTACTTCTTTGTTTAAGAATAACTATATAGAGAAAATTATTCAGATTATTATCGTAAATTGGCGATTAGTTAGGCGACTTTCCCAAGTGAATTCGTTATTTATGGATAAATAAATAAATAATAAATGTTTGCAATGATAAACGATACATAAACCATAATTTCCACAAAGTAAAGTGGCGGCACCTTGTCTCAGCTTTTGCGAAACCGTTATAAAAACCATGCAAACATTATTAAATTGTTTTTTCGTAATTGCCTCTTATCAAGACTATGGTGTAAGCAACTAATTGTAGCTGTTCGAAATTCGTTTTAAGTTGACTTTAAGTCGCTTACCTACTTTTAGTTTAATTTAAAATTAAAGGAGTGCTCAATAATTCAAAATTAGCCGAAGGTAAGCCAAGTCAAAGATTTCAAGTCAATTAAAATTTCTTTATAGGTTATATAATATGTTAAGCAAAAGCTTACATGAGGTCATTCGATACGTTCACATACGACGACTGACTCTACGACTGTTCTAACGTGTGATTGTTAACAATAAATAATATCGAAAAAAGGGGAGTAATATTAAAATTTTGTTTTGTTTGTTAATTACTAATATTCTTTTACAAGATTTACCTTCATAAACGATTAAAAGAAGGAGAGAAAAAAAAAAAAAAAATTAAAAATTTGATATATGTCTAAGCGTTTATCATAATAACTGAAAGCCGCATATCGCACATTGAATAAATTTATTAATTAATTTAATTGTTTATAAAATTTATAGGTCTGAATATTATCATCAATCATCTACACAAGTAATATTTTGAAATAAATATCATTTGACTAATTAAAAAAAGTAATAAAAATATTGTTTAATTGCATTTAATTAAAAAATCTGCAAAAACAATTGAATACAGTCACATGCATTTATATATATATAAATATATAAATATATATATATATATATGAACAAATGCACTGGCTAACCGCCAGATTAATAAACCTCAAGTCCATTAAAAGGGAAATTCTATTTCAAGTTAATCGGCACAAAATCCTCTAGAAATTTCTATGTTTACCTGTCTGTCTGTCTGTTGTGAATAAACTTGAAGGTTTGAACTGACAGCTGATGACTAATGAATGGCCCAGTAATTGGTTGAGTAATCTGTGTGAAATCGTAAGTGATAGGGTGTTATGTAGTCGAATAAAGAAAAATTTGTCTGCCAACTAAGCTCCTTTCAAAAAACTTCCCGGGTTTCTCAGCATTCTCGCCTATTCATCCTTGAAGTTGCCTTAATGCCGCACGACACACTAACTTGTAACTTGTCGTTCTTCACTCTTCACTTACTCCCCTCCTTTAAAATAACCTACACGCTTTAGTCTATCCCATAGTACCACATGTCTCAACTACTACTACTATTACAAACACTATTCCCTCCTTTCGACTCTCCAAATCAATGGCTCATCATGGCCACCACTGTGCCTACACACACGTAGGAGAAAGGTACTGAGTGGCTAAGTAAGAATTTAGAACACACTTTTAGTTACTGGATAAGCACTAACAATGGGCAACACTCGTCTAGAAAACATTAAACCTTTCTCTAGAGCAAATTAAAAACTTGGATCTTATTATTTCTATCAATTTTCGTTTAAAACATCAGGAGATAAATTCTTTATGCAGGACTGCTTTATGATTTTTAGGACAATTACAAACTGCGTCGACGACTTCTTTCAGAAAAATTGGAAAGATAGTCTAGCTATCTCATCAGCGTAATGCTTTGCGTTACTTTTTAAAATTCCACATATTATTTTTAATCTTGTAGCTATAGTTGCTTTTCTTCGATAATTACTTATACAAATCATATTTTTGTTGTTGTTTTACTTTACTTACAGAGTTCTCAAGTTGAATTATTAAACAACAAAACCCTTTCAACTTCCCGGTAAGTGAAATTTTTAATAGATTTTATCGTTTTGAGTAATGTATTAAAAGAGGATATTTTGAATATGTTTTCGAAAGTAGAAGAATTTTTGAAAAGCTATCTATCACTTATACCTCTAGTCACATAAGCACATTACGTTTTATATTTGAGATGAAAATGCAGTTAACTTAAGTGCTACTTTGATTGTCGCTGATTTGTTGTCACATTGTGGTCATTTAATAGCTGGCTGGATATGTGGGTGAATGCAGAAGTGTTGTTCACGTTGTTCTTACTGTTGTTGCTGTTGTTGCTGTTGATTTTTATTTTTATGTCATACCTTTTTAAGTTTATGACCAAAACAATTCACAACGACACTCATTGACGAAACATACGCTCATACACCCCGTCGTCTATGCGCATATCGGGTGGACATGTAATCGCCATAGTTAAAGATGCTTCGCCTTCGTTAGAGCCAAAAAGTATGGGCAATACACACTGTAACGCGGCGATATCTTTTGCATTAACATTAAGGGCTAAATTGATTGTTTGTGTACGTTCTTCATAAATGCTGTTCGCTCGTATTCATGACCAAAAAACTTGCGGATATTTTCCTTTTATCATTGCTCTTGCGACGTCTAAAAATATTCATATTCCTTATAATGGCCATTAACTGCGACATTTACGAATGGAATTAACTTGAAATTCTGATGAGCATATGTTAAAGGTCGCAATACTCTTGCGTACAAGGTTTTTCCTGCAGGTTGCCGTCATTACGACTTTTAGACCGAAAGTGGGAAATAGTTTCTGATTGAAGTCGAATGTCAAAAATGCCCAATCAATGCATGCAGTTCAAGCTCGGCTGATGTCGGGAAACGCATTTTTAATCGATAAATTGAAATATTCGTATATCCGCAATTGTCTTTCTTTCCCTTCTTCAATTGTTGCATTTTTTTTTACTCTTGACTGGTATCAGAACATTGCTGGCACTATCGAGTTGTCGTAAGTGAGCCATATGTTTGGAAAACTTGCTAGACTTTGACAAGCTGATATGTGGGATGGCTTTCAAATGAATGTCTGAATGAATGATTCCAACGTCGACTTAAAGAGCATAGAGCGCCTGCTTGAACAGACTTTAATATTGTAATATAAACGTCGCGTAACGAAAAGTTCGACTTAAGCCGCATAAAAATTCTCGTATGTTTTGTTTTTTATTTATTTTTTTTTTTTGGACACATCCACCAAAGTGGCGGTCATAAATACATGCAAGAGGAATGTGGACACGACATTCCAAACCAAAGCAGTCTCCGGAGGGATGTCGTTTATTATTATTATTATTATTATTATTATTATATTTAAAGCGAACCAATTGTAGGAAAATGTGTCTTACAAACCAAGAGGTGATGCAATAAAATATCGCTATAAAAATCTATGAATGACATATTAAATCAATTGCCTAAAAATGAAAATAAAATTACAATTTACGAGATATTAGTTAGTGGTTTCTCTTAAACATGAAAAAACCATTAGATATACATACATAAGAAAAGCTATACAACGCTTATGTGCGTACATGTAAGCGTGAAATTAAATGAAATTGTAAAAAATTATTAAACATTAAGTCATTAAAAAAAAAAAAAAAGAGAAATTTGTTGCGCTTTTCTTTTATTCATCCTCGATAAGCACACGTTACCTGCAGGAGGGACGCTTCTCTTTCATATAACCGCTAAACGCAGCCCAGGTGTTTTGGTTCTTTACGTTTGTATTCTTTACAAAAATGGGAAATTTTGGAAAACCATTTTTGTATTTTTATTTTTTTAATGATTTTTATTACAAAGAAACTTAAGACGAACCACGACTACAGCGACACCAAGAAAAAAACAAAAAGACAGAAATGATCCTTTCCCGAGCAGTATTGACTTATCAAGAGTTCACCAGTTTCCATTTTGCTTCTTATTTTTTTTTTTGCCCTTTATCGTTGTTAGAGATCGTTTTTATGGTTCACTTGTAGCTTCTTGAAATAAGTCAATTAATTCAAGTGTTTAAGCCCCCGGATGAAATTTCTTATAAAAAGATCACTGATAATAATTTATCTACAATGGAGAGAGAATGCCTGTTTGATTACTAAGTAAAATGATTTAACAGTCAGTTACTAAGTTAAGAACGAATTTTAAAAATCCCGTAATTAGATTTTAGTTTGTCGTTAAAAGCAAGTGGCACAAGTGGAAGTGTTTATGTGGTACATATGATGTCTTTGGCCAAAATATAGAAAATAAGTTAAGCGAGAAAGTTCTGTATTGTACTTTGGACTTGAGGCTTGAATACTCGAGATTGTGGACTTGTTAGGTGCTTAACACGGTTTAATATAAACAAAGGTGAATAGGACAAATTTCTAGGCAGTGACAAATCCTTGATCCTCAACACGCGGAATGTTTTGAATTAGAAATATTTCTCCTCGGGAATGGGTTAAAAAGGTGATCACATATTAAAGCATAATTTTAAACTCACTCCTGTTATTGCTCGCAAGGTCTTAATATTAGGCAACCTTTGAATGCTTCTAAACAAATCGCGGACATTTTTAAGCCTATAGTCAGTTTGTAGTTGTCGATATCGAATAAACTTGATCGTAATTTCTATATATTAGTTGACAGTTGTTTAGTTGGTCGGTCGATAAATTTTCAGTTGGATAGTAACAGAAACGCCTACTTTGCCGACAGAAGTGTAAACTCACTGTTCGTTACAGCGAGTCGATCGCCGACAGCTATCGAGTTTACTTGATATTGATAATTATATGCCGGCCTCTGGCTACTGGCCCTTGACTAAGAAGCAATCTCGTAGTTTCGAAGATTTCTTCTATCTACTCGCGGAAAATGAACGGACAGACGTCCTTATATAAATTAGCATAGTTGTTATATATATATATACATATATGGAATCTATCTTATCTATCCCTTGTGCACAGTATCTATGCAGTGTCTGTATATAGGATCTATGGAATGTTACGAGCGAAATGATAAATCTAAGACATTCCTATTATTCTACGAACAAAATAATAACATGTATACGGATGACTAAAATTTAGGCAAAGCTAAAACAGCTATATAAAAATAGAACAACATTATTTTGAAAAACCGGTAATTTCAAAAGAGAATTAAAAACGAAAAAAAAAACTGTTTTTTTTTTTTTTTGAGAATACAATTTTTCCTGGAGCCATTTTGATGTCTTCATTGCACTCTTGTTGTCGTCAGTCTTGTCGTTGTACATGTCTAGAATGTTTGGCTGTTGTTCTTCCTCTAATGATAGTCACATGTATACCCAAATGCGTTTCCAGCAGAGCGAGCACGCACATACACACACTCATAAACGCTGAACTAGTGAAAGATGGCTTTTATACAAAATTCATTAAATATTAATTTTATACATTTTCTGTTGTTGTTTTTTTCTTTCGTTTCGGTTGGTGTTGGTGTTCGTTCATACTGCTTTCGACTTAGTGCCACGAGTACCTTTTTTTTTGTTTCTGTTTCTGATGCACATGAGATACGCATATAAAATTGTATAAAATATGTATAGAAGGGCGTGTTTAATGCATAACCATTTTACTCAAACATCTAAATGGAAAAAAAAAAAACATTAATTTTCCCAAAATGGATGGTATATTCATTCCGATATTATGCTTGCAACAATATAAAAGTAATAATCAGATGCCTTTAGCAATATCATATACATATATATATATATATATATATATAATATCTGACTGTAAACATACCGTGAAGGTCATACAATTTCCCATGTGCAAAATGATGAAAGACGCGAATATTTTTTTGCAATAAAGTTTTTATTATTTAAAATATGTCTGCCTGTTGTGCAAATTTTTTTTTCCAAGAAATCGCACTCTTCTGTGAAGGCACTCATCTAGTAAAAAAAAAAAATAAATAAGCAATAGAGGGAACCGGCATTTTTCTTCTCGAAACGAGTGATTCCGTAAGGAAGAGAAACTGTTACCTACGGTAGTTGGCATTAACTACTACAAAAGGCGAATAAAATTTTCATATTCGAAATTGAAACACTCGGTGGTTTATATAGACCCTTCTTATATGGGCTTGACCTCTAATATATATATGAATGAATTAGGTCCGTTTGTCCATTTTTTGTCCTGCCCTTTATCCTCAGTTTCTTTCTACATTCTTTAGTAGTTGTTGCTAGTTTGGTAATAAACATTTTTGCATAATAATCGGCTAACTTACGGTCTATATTAAATTTTGTTGTAAAATTTATGCGACAATTATTTATTCCAAATCCTCTAAAGCTTCAAAATTAAAAAAAAAAAAAACCGATAGAGTTTATACGCTTCCGTGATCCCCGCATTAAATTTTCAATTCGACTAAAATTAAACAAAAACAAAAAAGAATTTTTTTCTTTCAATTTTTAAGAGGCAATATTTTAAGCTGATGGTCTTTTTTAAAATGTAAATTGGCCACTTTGATCTGAAATAGGTAGAAAGAAAATACACAAATACTTAACATAAGTAAAAATCACTATTTGGAGGCATATCACGTAATCTGACAAAGAAAACGAACCAAAAAAAAAAAAGAATACACAGAGGACGAAAGCCATAAAATGTTAAATTTATATTTCAATTAATAATGTCATCGACAAAAACTCACGACGATATATATATATATATATATACATATATATACGTGTGTGTGCGTATATATTTCCTCATGTATTTCATGGAAAATAAAACGACAACGAATGAACCTGTGGAAGAAAATTCAACATAAATATAATACAACCTGTTTATCAAGAAATTTCGTCGCTTGAATATTTCCAGTCAAGTATATACGACGTCGAGTATACGTAATTCTATTTATAATTTTTCCTCTTTTTTTTTTTTTTTAACTTAACTTATATATACTTACATGTATACATACATATATGTATAAATATATATGTATACACAGTATATGTACGCATATATATACAGAATAATACATATATATATATATATATGTTTCCTT